AGTCAAGAAATCAACTGAGCACAAATATTTGGCCTTAAAGAAGAGGGGTTTTCATTATATTCCTTGAAAATCCCCATAAGCTTTCTTAGACTCAGTTGTGAAGAAGCATGTCGCTTTTAGATAAGATAAACTTAAGGTGTGTCCTCACTGGGAAAGGAAAAAGGTGGGTCTTTTACTAAGTTCACATGTGGTAAAATCCTATGAATACAAAGCAAGTGCTGGTTTTTTTGAGGTTTACAAAGTCATGTTAAAACTATTAAAGCTGCTCTTACGTTGGTGCATTTGAAAAACTGAACATACATCTCCTTCTGCCCACTGGTGAAGCTAGGGCATAGGCTGTGAAGCAGGGCAGACTCAAGAAGAAAATCATTTTGGGTGTAGGTTAACTTTGAAAACAACTGCCCTAATTACAGTGAACTCCTGAAAACCTTTTCTGTATATTTTAAAATACTGAATATGAAATACTTTGTTTAGCTGTAGCACTTATTTGTGCTTAAAGTAATTTTTGTGGGGGGGGTTTGTTAGCTAAGATTCTCTTGTTTTTGTCTTTTTTTAATTCTGATTCTCATGCTCCAAGTTTGACTCGGACCTTTATTTTTTTACTCTGGCATAATTCCCTTTATGCTTTCTTTTCAAAAAAATAAAAGGGGGGAGCAAACATCTGTTATGTAATTAATGAAAACTGTTGAGTCTATAGACTGTTGTGTAAATATGTACTGAACTCGGGTATTCGCATCACATGTACGAGGAGGCGATGGGACTCCTACGGTGGGTCCCATGCATCTCTTTGCTCTTCAGCCTTCTAGGAATTCCTGTGAAGGAACTTGGATGCCTGTATTGGCGGAGCAGCAGCAAAGTGGGTGTACAGCCCATCTGAGTGTTGTAGCTTGTAGGTAAGACACTGAATCTGCCTCCCGTCTTGTGCAAACCGTGTCCTTAGCCCTCAGGTGCCAGGTCCTAGCCCTGCCTGGATTCTTACCACCCCAGCAGCGGAGCAGGCTGGGAGCGCTGCCACACGTGGCAACACCTGGCAGCCTTTCCTGCAGCCTGCGCAGGCGTCTGCGTTGGCTCAGGCACCTGCCACCCAGGAGCTACCCGTTCAGCACCGAGCAGGTCTGCTTTTGTGGGGACATCCTCCGCTTGTTCTGTGCATCTGGGGATACTGCAGTTTATGTAAAGGTGGAAGTTGTCATTACTGCTTAGCACTCGAGTTTGACTTTAACTGCAGTTCTTCTATTGATTCCCAGTTTACCAGCTACTCCTGTTCTACATGTGAAAATCTTGTTTCATTCTAATATAAATTTAATTGTAAAGCTATTTTCTATTGTTTCTGTATGAGCATTCTAAACTGTTAACACTGTGAAGTTCCTAGCTTATACTGTTTTAAAATAATCTTTTCAGAGGTTGAGTGGTAACTTTTAATTCGTTCTACCTGGGCAGTTTTGGTTATTGTACAACAAAAATAAGTGCAAGTACAAAACTTGATGTAATGCGCAACTCATCAGCTGTAGTAGAATGCCGATTTCATTCACACGGCAGAGAGGATTCTTGCTGTAATTCTTTAGGACATTACCTGTATTTTAGCGACCAATCACCATGTTTTAAAAGTTGTGCAATTTTGGACTCTCTTGGGAGCATGCATAGTTCTCCAGTGAATTTCATATTTTAAAAAAAAAGTAATTTTTACCTTATTCAGACAAGAGACTGAATTATATAATGTCCTGTCTGATGGTCTGCCAGCAGATAAATGCAGCATGTGTATCCATTTTTGCCTTTGGTGTTGGCAACAAAGATATTCCAAAAAAGTCCTAGGGCTGTAAAGGTAAACCCCTCACCTCGTGTAATGCAGTGAATAAGGTTGCAGCAGCAGTTCTTGACTTATGGTTTGAGGAGAGGTGGACTATGGAGAATGCTGTGTAAAATCTAATTGTTTTTATTGCATGTAAATCCAAGAACTTGAAGTGTTACTTAAAGATTTGGCATCATTTAAGACATGTTCTGACCTTAAAACCAGATTTCATACAAACTACATTTTGAGTCCCTCTCATGACAAGATTCCTATCTGAACGATTTTCACAGATGAGGATCTAGAATTTTCAAGTTGAACTTGAACTTACAGATTTGTCTAATTTGTGTTTAATTTGCTGTATGTGATATTTTTACAATAATAGTAAACTATGTTAACCATGAATGTTGTTAGTTGCTTTCCTGACTTCCAGAAAACACTGTGTATCTACTTCAATGTTTTGGAGAGATCAGAGTAAGTTACAAACACTACTTAGAACCTTTCTCAGATTCCCTCATCTTTAAAGGTATTTTGTTAGGATGACAGTCTTTATCTCATGGGTAAAATAAGCAAGGTTGCTTCAGGTCACTGGATCTGTCCAAATATTTTGCCACAGGGACAGTGTGGATTTTGGACTTTTTCTCATGTCCTAATCCAGTATCAAGTCCTAGGTGGTAAGTCTGTCTCAACTGGATTCAGAATTGTATCTCCTTTTCATGTGCTCCAAAGATTCCTTGCTGTTCCAGAACTGACACTGAAAGGTGAAGTGGTTTTCCTTGAATGTTGAGATTGCCTTTCTGTCCTCTGCCATGGCACTAGCAGTGGTGCTCTTCCACCCAGCTGATACCTTGCTTCAGGGTGCTGATTTACCCAAAACCTGCTGGGTTCCTGCCTGGTTCAGTCTTTGGTCGGGGCAGCTGCCTTTGTGGAGCTTCAGTAACTACAGGTGCAGTAGGGCTGGCACAGGAGGAGAGGTGGCAAAGAGCAAAATGCGGTGTCCCAAGGGTCTGAGAAGCAGTAGGACTGCATCCTTCTTTTCGGGTGATTGCCTTAAAGGCGTACTTCAGGGAATCTGCTTGTTTCCATGCAGAGCAAATGATAAATTGGACCCTTTAAGGTCAGACTTTTCTCTGGTATATTTGTTTGTGATGTACCAGTGCATGAAATTGTTTATAAGAAGTAAACAATTACTGAGGGGTTGTTTATCACTTAAAGCCTATTTTTTTTTAAATTAAGATTTTTTTTATTTTTTACTTGGTTTCTTTACAATGAATGTTTTTAGAGAGTAGTTTGTATTCCTTTTCTGCATTGAATGAGCAGTGTATGCTTCGTGTAATTCGGTGTCCTCTTCCAAAGCACGTCTGCCACTTGTGTACCAAAGCAACCAGAATTGAAGAAGTGGCTGTGGTCATAGCGGAGTATCTGTTGCCCCTTGATTGTGAGGCATTAGTACTGTTTTGGATACGTACACAAACTGTCTTGTTGATTCTCTTGTCTCCTAGACCCCTACAAAACTTAACTGATGGACCTTTTTAGGTTAACAATTTCCTACCTTCTCTCTGCTATTTCTGAAGAAACTTTTTTTCCCTGTCCGTATGCCTGCTGTATTACAGACCAGAGAGTAAAAACTGTTTACGATGGATGCTGTTGATTGACAATGTATTTCTAAGGAATTAAATAACTCTTCAACCACTTGTAGGGCTTCTGTTTCAAGGCAAGTGCATAAATGCTGTCATTTAATACATTTTTCATTACGGACAAACTTCTGGAGTGAAATCAAAAGCTTGTTGAAGTGATCTTGTAATGAAAATATTTATGATTCCCAGTCATAGATGTGTAAAATAGCCAACAATCTTCTGATGTGTTACAAACCAGAGGCTTTAGGTTCAGATCTAGGTTCTGTGCCACCTGCTTACCATGCTCATAAACGGGCTGACTTGCTGTGCCCCTCCGCTGTGTGCCAGGTGTGTGTGCCGTGACCTGCCGGCTTGGCCCTCCAGCCCTCTTCCAGGGCACTTCTTCTGCAGCACTGCTTCAGTTTGTGGCAGTCTACAGTGCCAAAGCCAAGAGGCTTAGAAGCAGGTCCTTCTCTGCACGTTTTTGTTCTTCTGGGGGGATTTGTTCCATCTTCAGGTCCCATCATGCGTATAGAGCAAGTAGTGCTAGATGATCGGTGGTTTTATAAGGGGATTGAAGGAGAGCTGGAGTATGGCTAAATAGAGGGTACAAATTTGGTATGTGGCTGAAAAAAATAAGATTATGAACTTGTTTCAAAGAATTATGAGGTTGAATTTATACCAAGAGAAAACTAAATAGGTTAAGGTTTTAGGGATAATTATAGAAGGCTTCTTGATCACATGGAGTAACGTCTTGAAACGTCAAGTGGTGTAATTGTTAATTGGAATGGATCACTCTTAGCAGGTTTGATTATTAGTTATATCTCAGCATAAGAGTTTAGTGGCATAAGGTTTAGCATGAGAAGGCATAAGTTATATCTCAGCATAAGGTTTAGCATGAGAAGGTTGAGTGATCTGTCCAAAAAGTATGCTTGTGGCTTTGATGTGCACATGACTGGTGAGATTGCCCTCCGAGTAATGGGGCTGTATTATGGTGTTCAAGAAGGCTGGCAAACTTACCAGGTGTGTGAATTAGTTTATCATCTATTGACCCTAATAACTACAGAAGATCTTAAGAATTTATTCTTAATGGCTTGTTTCAATTTTCTACTCGATGCTTATGTAAATTGAGGTGCAATAGTGTTGTAGGTATGCCTATAAGCTGAAGCTGGCAGAACCTTTCTGTACAGTTGTGACACCGCACACACATTATTTCTTGGCATGCAGTGAAACTGGTTTGATGTTTATTAAACACCAGTTAGATACTAACAAACACTTAAAATAGCTAGCTTGCATAAAAAGGATGTATACAAAAAATGCTTCCTTTAAAACTTGCTTTAAGTGTGTCTTTCCATGGCGACGGGGGGGGGAATGAACGGGTTTTAGGGCTGGTGTATTGTTTTCACAACGCTTAGGCAGTGTTCTTTACAAGTATTTGTGCTTGGAGGCTATATTTAGTACTAGTTCCGTGGAGGGGGGAGATGTTTTTTCTTAAATATGCTTCTCGCAATAAAGTTGGGAGTTGGTCTTTTATGCTAAAGTGTGGAAATTGGTTACATCAGTGTATTTTAAGTGAAACTTTTTTTTTCTCTGCAGGTGGACCTGTAGAGACTCCTCCAGAGGAGCAGACAGCCTCTTGTGAAGGTAATTTGTTACTTGTATTCATCTTCTGATGGTACACAATGCAGCTCCATTAAAAATTATTTTCAAAAAATTATTGCAAAGAATCTCCTTTCTAAAAATCTGTGAACCTTTTCCAATCTTCGTTCTCTTTATCCTCATACTACTGTTGTAAGGCAGTGTGGTTGTCTGTGGTTATTTACAATTTTATAGCCAGTCGAGCAAGGCACATAAAGACCAAGTGCTTTATTGAAGGTCATAAAGCTTGCATGAAGCAGGATTTTTAAAATTGAATCTGTGTATTAAATAGCATTGGCAAGTGCCTGAACATCTGAACTATCCTTTTATTAATTTAGTCACTCTGGTTTTCTTTGTTCTAGGTACTGTCATGATAAATATGTGTCCTTAATGATTCCTTTTTGTTTGCTTGGGTTTTTTCCCCCAGGTTCAAATGCTGCTGTTAACATGGAAATTTCAGAATCTGTTGGTAAGATGAGAATTGTTCCATTTCACTACAATAGTACTATAAAATACTACTATAGCGCTGAATCATTGCAAACAAAATTGAAGAATACCTTACTGAGCCTTTGCATTTTTGGTCCCTTCTAATTTTTGTTGTGTCTTTATACTTAGATGAGGAAAGAGGTAATTGAACACTAGTATGCATTGACAGGTGCAATTGGATTACTTGGATGCTGAAAAAGCATTGGTGCTTTATTAAAAAATAATTTCATATTACAAAGTAGTCCCATTAGTGTGTGAAATGGTGATTAACAAAAAACGTTAAAGTGATCAGTGATATGAGCAATCAGAACATGGAAATTGTATCTTTCTCCTTGTATTTGTATGGCTTTTAGAGAACTTAAACCACTAGCCCTTCCCTTTCCTTTCTAAACATATGGTAGCATCTGTCTGTCTGGGTTCAGACCAGCACGGTGGTCTGAGTGGATCTTCAGATTTGTTTTTTCCTTATAAAACTGTTGCCTTGTTAAAACAGAAGCCTCTTCATCCCTGTGAATCACAGTTTTCTGATGTCGGCACACAAGCTAGTTCCAAAGTTCCCAGTAATAATCATTTTGGAAACAAGCAGCAGGTGCCCATTTTTATAAAGGAGGACATTACCAGACTGGGTAGTTGAAGTCTTTTGACTGCATCCTGGGGAAGAGCCTTTTCTAGTAGTCACTGCTTTTAATTTCATTACTTATTTGAATATATCTAACTGCTTAATTTTTAGTGGAAAATGGAGAGACAGAAATGTCCCCGGAAGAGTCATGGGACCACAAAGAAGAAACAAGTGAAGCAGAGCTAGGAGGGGGTCCCGCAGGGGATGTGGGGCCTTCCGAAGAAAGCGCTCAGGAAATGATGGAAGAGGAGGAGGAAATACCAAAACCGAAATCTGTTGTAGCACCGCCAGGTGCCCCTAAAAAAGAGCATGTAAATGTAGTATTCATTGGGCACGTAGGTAAGTTTTAAGTGAATGTGAAGTAATTGGATCTTGTGTATTATCTAGAATTTAGAGGATTAGAAATTAATCCTGCTCTGTGTAGCGATGTGTGTATTCACCACGTCTTGAGGTTAAGAGGAGCATTTATTCTAATGAAGCTGCTCTGGAAAAATTACAAAAGTTAAAGCAGGTCTTGCGGGGCAGAGTGCCAAGGACAGAGTGCCTGCCATCTCTTGGGTGCAACAGCCTTTGTGTTGGTGACTTCTCAAGTACCTGGTCTAGTGAGCACAGATGTATCTGTGTGATCCAAAGAGCAAAACTGGAAAGCAGTTTTAAATATTTTTGGAGGATTCTTATTAATTGTTACCAAATTAAAAAATAATTATTCAAAATATTAAAAATTGTAGAGCTATAAACAGTAGGTGAATGTAATTCAGGGTTAAAAGAAGCACTTATAGCAAAATGTCCAATTGATTAGTTTCAACAAGCTTCAGAAAAATCTTAAGTGGTGTCAAAAGTACAGAAGAATTACTGAATCGTGAGTTTTACAGTCAACTCTGTATTGTCATTTGTATAGTCTCTTATCACCTTAGAACTACTGTAACTTATTCCTCAGGTAAATTCAGAACGGAGTCACGCACAGTAAAGAGGCGGTGCGCAGGGGTAGGTCCCAGTATTGGAGAGGGACAAGGGGGAAAGGGATTCTGCAAGGGCTTCCCACGCTCTTAACCCACACTTCTGCTGGATCGCTGTTGTTGGGGGTTTTGTAATGGATAATGCCAAGTTTGTATGTATGAAACCGGAATTTTCAAAATTTGGTTTAATTGAATTGATGATGAATTACTATGGAAACAAGGGAAGCTGAGAGATGCTTCAAAAACTTAGGTTGCAATTAAAAAAATGTATCTTTGGAAATAAATTAGATGACCTTGTTCTTAATTGTTTTCTTCTTTTTCTAGGATTTTCTTTTAAATTATTAATTTTATTTTTTTTTTATTTTAGATGCTGGCAAGTCAACTATTGGAGGACAAATAATGTAAGGAAACAAAATTTTTAGATTTGCTGTTCTTGTGAATTCAAAATGCATGAAGTAAAACGAGTGGGGTTTTTTTAATGGCTTTAATCGGCAAAAATTAATATTTTTATAATAAAATGTTACTCTTCCTGTCAATGTAGTTACTTACTGTCTTTGGAATTTCTTAATTTCAGTTGATCTAATCTTATGGCTATAGGATTTTCAATTCCTTAATGGCAACAACTATGCAAAAGCACACATTATTAAATTAAAAAAAACTGAATCCCTTTCTTATAACATGACTGAGGGTTTTTTTTGTAGTTTTAAAATGCTATTTGAAACTGCTTTATACCCTTTGTTAAAATTTGTCCTTTTCATGAGATTAAAAAGAAAATTAATATCCTTATTTCCTGGTGCTAACATTGTCAGGCATAATTTGATTTCCAAACATGAAACTATAATACTTAATCTTAGAAGCCCATTTTAGAAACAGTTTCTAGAGACTGCAATATTTGCATGAGACAAAAGTAAATAAATGCAGCTAGATCTTATGGTCTGTAAAAAAACAGAAATGGAAGGTAGTACATGAAGAAATAAATGCTATCCTGCTGATGCAGAGTATTTTTATGATTTTAAAATAATATTCTCAGCAAAAGTGGGAGGTCTTTGTCTTGGCATTTTCATCTTGTTTTGTTTCGACCAAACTGGAATGTTGGAATTGTCATGCTACATTTAACCTAGTAGCTCATACTAGAGCAAATTAGCATTTTATTATCTGATGTGCTTGTGTATTCTCCTCGTACAAGGAGATACCTACTCTTAATACCTTGCCAGTGTGGTGTGTTCCCAAAGCTTGTAGTGGTCTTTTTTTGCAGAACATCCCTTTGTTGTAAGGGAGGAAAAAAAATGGGTGCTGGTACCACCTTTGTCATCAAGTCTTTATTTACTGTTAGCATTAATTTTCCTTACAAATGAAGTAGATTACTGTTACTAGAAGATCAGGTAGAAATAGCTGCGGGGGAAAATATGAAAATTTTCATATAATAAAACTGTACACTGCTCACCTCTTTTCATAACTGAAAGATCTCTCAAAATATCAGTTTCCTTGTTCTATCTAAAAAGAATGAAACAGAAAATATTTTTCTTTAGACTTCAGAAATTGGGGTGGGGGGGAAGGTGTGTGTGAAAAATTCTCTCATCACAATTTTTACTTACTTTTGAAACATTGGATTAGTCTCAGAGATGGACTTAACAGATATAGTCCCTTTTCAAAGTTTGCCTCTGCAGAACATTTTACAATTAGGTTTAAAAAAAGACATTCCTTATACTTCTGCTAAAGCGGTACTGGTGTACCTTTACATATCAGATAATGGCATGGCTTTTTGTGGCGAAAAAATTCCACTGCTGCTCACATCAGGCTGTTCAAGTTTTTCAAAATAATCTGTAGGGATTGTGTAAGTATTTAATGATGCGGAACTATGTTTCTGCTTATGTAAAA